TTTCTGATAGTTCTAGACCATTGAAAGCCTCTCAAACAGTGAATTCCTGCATCACCAGCCCTTCTACGCCTTCAAAGTGAGTTATATTTCTTTGTACCCAAAATCTGTATTTTTAAGGATTTGGTTTACCCTAATCTCACAAGAGTGTCCCTTTCCTTTTTCTGTATTGTTTTCTCTTTTTACACAACAGTTGCTCTGTATTACTCATACTTGGAATTTTCTTGACTCTGATTTAGATCGAAGGTATAACATTTTTAAACAGTGACACAAGTTTAGCTGATTCTTTCAGTGTTTTGTCTTAAAACTTTTTTAATACTTATCCTTTGTTAAAATGTAATATTTTCATCCTAAAACTCTAAAAATTGACTCATGACAAAGATCTTAGGGATTGAAGGGGGAAATAACTCCAGTTACTCTAAAGCACCCTTCTTCAAAGGTAGGCATGGGATCCCAAAGCATCTTTTCACTTCTTATTAGCCAGTCTGGGATGTCTTATCTTCAATGCTGAATAGGAGATATTCTGATAGGGGACAAAAAAACAAACAGGCACTGGAATGTTGCTATTCTACAAATGCTTTGTGTTTTTCTTTCATACCAGAAGTTTATCCAAGGAGGGAAGCAAATGCTTTTTTTAACAATAAAAAAAACTCTTCTAAGATTTTTATTAGAGGAGTTCCTGATTTGCTCTTTCCAATTGATTTCTTGTCATTTGACTTTGAAATTCATTTTTCTAAAAATTTAATGGCCCAAAGTATTTTTAGAGAAGAGACACTTTTATTGTTTAAGAGTTTTGGGGGGGCTTATATAAGCATAAAATGATGTTTGGGAACTGCTATTTTCTTTTCCTCCTGTTAATTATTTTTCAGTGCCATTAAAACCAGATGACTAACATGACTAGAAAGTGAAATGGTACCGATATGAATACTCTTGCCCGTTCTCAAGATACAAATGAGCAATACCACTTGGCTGCTTAGAAAGTGAGCAAGTGATGCATTTACAGGATGAATGTTTTTCATTGCTACAGGCAAGCTGCCTTCTGTAAATATAGTAACTATTAATGGAATGCACTCTTTATGTACCAAGTCACTGTAATTGCAAGAAAGAGACGGTTTCATTGGGCATCATTGTACTGTGGCATGGTCATCTGTTCTACTGGTATGAGAATTTGAGAGTTAACAATAAAGGATGATTAGGCCCTAGAAGATCTGTCATGCTGATCAAAAATAAAAGAGGCTGAGTTATGAACCAGAACACCATTGGTTCTTCTATAATGTCCTTTTGTTACGTTTGACCCTGGTACAATATAGTAGCCAGGTGTCACTTCCTTCAGCAGAGATTTACCTGGATAAATAAATTAATATGTCAAGTTTGCTTGGTGAGCATGAAATCAGAAATGGGGAATTAAGATGGCTAATTGGCTACTTCTAAATTATACTAAAAACTTTTTGAAGACAGAAAGGAAGGTTGTTCAAATGTTCAGGCTGGATTGCAGTGAGTGATATCCTTGCTGCTTGCAGCCACAGACTATGCTTGGGCTTATCACTGACCACTTGCCTCTTTTCTTTGATCTACATTGCTACTCAATCCTTCTGATTTCCTTTGTGGCCTCTTAATTCTTGGTGCCATTATTCTATATGTTTTATTTACAGTTTTTACATTTAGGTTAATTATATTTTCCTAATTTTCATTTTGCTTTTTTATTTTAGTATAGCATATGATTTTATGTTACCCTCCATCAAAGAAAGTATTTGTCCTTTGACCGTTACCAGTTTTTCCTTTATTTTCAGCTCACCTAGAAAACAACACAGTAACACCTTACTTATCTCTTATAATCATTTTGGATGAAAACTTTTCTAAAATATGTTATACTATTTCTTATATTCTTAGGTAAAATATACTGAAGATAATTTAAGCATATCCTAATGACCAAGAATCAACAACATTATAAGTATCAGCTGTTGCACTGTGTTTCAATATGATAGTGCCCTCAGATAGTATTACAGGGCAGTTTACTTTTACACTAAAAAACTTTATAGTTCTTTATTGCTCTTTTTGTGGTTATTCTCTTCTATTTCTTAGCTCTCATTTCTTGATAAACTTGCTATACCATTTTATACATCATTTCCTGGGAAATAAAGGGTCCCTATAAGTACATAGGCTTTGGAACTGTCTTCCTGGAAGCCTTTTTTCTTACTTTGGAATCTCTGTATTTTGAAAGGTAGAGGTTGCCAGAAGTCGTACTTACAGAGAAGTGGATAAGTGGAATGTTACTGTTACCTTAAAAGTGCATGGATCATAATTTAAAAAATCAAAAGTTAGTTCTTATGCACTTTGTTGTCGAAAACATTCACTCATTGCTATGCCTGCATGAATTCAGTAGAGACTTACTTTATAAAGACAAAAGCAAACTTCAAGGGGGTTGATCATTTAAAAGAAAAAAGGCATAAAGTGATTGGTTTACTGATGATACACAACAGCATAATAATTGTCCAGTTTTTGAAGCATGGCTCTTTTGGAGTGGGGCAGAGGTAATGCTTAAATATACCTCTTTTGATATCTTTTTTTCTCTGTGAAATAATTTTCCATAATGGAAAGCATTTTGTTTTGGTATTTATACATCAGAAGAATAACAAAGACAAGTGTTCATTGGACTTACGTAGAGTTTTTATTCCTTAATTTACAGGAAGTTTACCTTCAAATCTAAGAGCTCCTTGGCTTTATGCCTTGATTCAGACAGTGAGGATGAGCTAAAACGCTCTGTGGCCCTCAGCCAGAGATTTTGTGACATGTCAGGCAATGAACAGCAGCAGGAAGTCCTGGAAAAAGTAAGTAATTTTTTATCAAAACATCTGATAAGGATATATGTAGCTCTTACTGTCCAAACATATGTCTTTTATAACCATCGTTAACTATCCTTAGCAAATAAAGATACAAGATAGCTCATAAACACAGTGGGTCTCTTCAAACACTAGTTTTAAAGAGCATTCTTTAGCTACAAAAACCATTCTGTTTAGAGATGGATCAAGACTTAAGAAATAAATTTCTATCAACAGAGCAAGTAATCTAATTGTTTAAATTATGAATGTTCAGATATTGCTATATCATATTCTATCTTGACACTGACTGACAGTTAATTCTTTGAAGAACTAAGTTTTTCTAGGTGTTTTGCATCATTTCATGCTACTGTGTTTTATTTTAAACCTCCCTTTTTGGCTCGGCACCTATAGCACAGTGGTTAGAGCGCCATCCACATGCAGCAAGGCTGGCAGGTTCAAGCCTGCCCAGGCCAGCTAAACAACAACGACAACTGCAACAACAAATAGCTGGGATTTGTGGCAGGTGCCTGTAGTTCCAGCTACTTGGGAGGCTGAGGCAAGAGAATCACTGAAACCCAAGAATTTGAGGTTGCTGTGAGCTGTGACACAACAGTACTCTACTGATCAGGGGCGACATAGTGGGACTCTGTCTCAAAAATATATATATAAATATATATATATACCAAAAACCTCCCTTTTGGTAAAATAATAGAATTATTTTAGTAGTTATTTTTTCTTCTGATTTTTGCTTCCTCTCACTTTAAAGCTAGAAGTAGTTTGTATTTGCCTACTTAGAATGAGAAATGAGATAAAGTCAGAAATTCTCCCAGAAATTGAAGTTACTCAGAAAATAATTCTAGTTTTATAATCTTAATATAGTTTTTATTTTTCATATTAATTTTTATAAATAAGACCAGCCAACATTAAAAATAGAATATTATGTATAGTGTTAGAATATTTATAATATCTATATCTAGAAAAACATAAATCAAAAATACTGATAGAAATTATTTTTCAGTGATCTATTTTAAATAAATTTATTAAATTTATGTATTTGCAAACTTTTATAAAATTGGCATTTGTTTTTTGAGACAGAGTCTCACTCAGTTTGCCCTGGGGTTGAGTGTCATGGCATCATAGCTCACAACAACCTCAAACTCTTGGGCTCAAGTGATTCTCTTGCTTCAGCCTCCCAAGTAGTTAGGACTATAGGTGCCCGCCACAGCACCCACCTGTTTTTTAGAGACCCGGTCTTGCTCTTGCTCAGACTAGTTTCGAACTCCTGAACTCAAGCAGTCCACCTTCCTCAGCCTCGCAGAGTGCTGGGATTACAGGCATGAGCCACCGCCCCCAGCTGGAAACTTTTTATAAATAAAATAAAGTTGCCACTCTAAGGTCTAGTTTGTAGGTATTCTAGTTTTCTCTAAAAATAACTCTCTTCTTCAGGATTCAAAATTATGCCAAATAGAGCCTGATAAATCTGAATTGGAAAACTCAGGATTTGACAAAATGAGTGAAGAAGAGCTTTTAACAGCTGTCTTAGAAATAAGTAAGAGAGAAACTTTACCATCTCTGAGTCATGAAGATGATGATAAGCCAACAAGCAGCCCAGATACTGGATTTGCAGAAGATGATATGCAAGAAATGTCTGAAAATCCAGACACTATGGAATCTGAGAAGTCCAAGACAATCATAGAGCCAGGTAGGTTTAATGAAGGTAAACATCTGTTAAAGCATAACTGTTTTAAAACCTCATAGTGATCAGTGACTTGTAAATAATGGGAGGTGGAGTGGATCTATATAACAGAGCTGATAATATTTCATGCTTTATTATAAAAAGCTTTAAAAAATGTAAAGTAAATGTTATGACTAGTATACAGATGCTTGAAAAAGTATACCATTTCCCTTGAGATGTATATCAGGAATAAAGTTAGCATTCTAATGTGCATATAATAAATGTTTTTGTCAGTTTTCTCACCACTGTTAATTTAGAAATTCATATAATTGTTTTTCTGTATCTGAATTTTTAATAGTTTTAGTATGTAAATAATTCAAGTACTTCATCCGCCACACATTGTATTACCTTTTCTTTGTTTTGATATACAGCTACTTACGTTGTATTAGAGTTGCCTACAATTCAGTACTTTAACATGCTATACAGGTTTATAGCCTAGGAGCAATAAACTATACCATATTATCTAGGTGCATAGTAAACTATACTATCTAGGTTTGTATAAGTGTATTCTGTGACAGGGGTATCCAATCCATGGCCCATAGTCACATGTGGCCCAGGATGGCAATGAATGTGGCCCAACACAAAATCATAAACTTACTTAAAAACAAATAGTATGAGATTTTTTTGGCAGAATTTGATTGTGTGGTTCTCGAGAGTAAACATTGTAGATGGCAATGTTGTGTCACAGTGTCATATAAAATAAACATACACTCTGGTGATTTGTATGCATGTGTAGCTTCAGCATTACAGCCTTGTACAGCTTCCAGGGCATTATCTTCCAACCTTAGACAGTTTAATTGACACCATTGGACATTACGTGTGCTCATAGTGACTTGGTGAGACAACGCTTATCAATAATATTTCACGCTACCATTGCAACATTAGAGGTGTTATGTCATTTGGAAGTCAGGTAAACATTCTTATTTGATTATTAAGATTCTTATGTGATTATACATCTGTACCTCTGCTGTGCCTCATGCGTCAGCCCTCTACCTTGCCCTGCATTGGAAGCCAAGATGTGGAAGGACCCAAACCTTGCTTTCTATTTTCCTGTCAATTAATTTTAATAATAAAAGTAAATATAGTCCCTTGTCTATTATTATTTTTTTAATCCCAACATGGCTTCTACAAAGTATCAAAAGAAAACAGAACCCCCCAAAAGAAAAATTATAGATGAAGGAAGATTGTTCAGTGAAAAGTGGATAGATGATGACTTTTTTGTCAAGGCAAATATTAAGGCACTCTACTTAATTTGTAGGGAGTTTCTGCAAGTTTTCAAAGACTGTAATTGAAAAGATATTTATGCAAAATGCTACCAAATTTGGTATGTGTGAAGAATTTTGTCATAAGGACAAAACAGAACTGAAACAAGTCTGTCTTCTCAACAAAACAAGTATTTTTAAGTTACAACTCAGATTCCTTTGTAATAAGTAGTTATGTGGTGGCATATTTAATAGAAAAAATATCAAAACCATTTACTGACGGTAAGTTTATTAAGCAATGTATGGAAAGCATATCAGACATAATTTGCCCTGAAAAATAGGGAGATATTTCTAAAATCAGTTTGCCTCACCAGATTATAGCCAGGTGAATTGAAGAAATTGGAATATTTTTCAAAAGAAGTTTGGAGAGTAAAGCTACTAATTTTAAATTTTATGCTTTAGCAATGGAGGACATCACTAATGCTAAAAATACAACTCAACTTGCCATTTTTAATAGTAGTATAGTCGACAAATAAAATGTAACTGAAGAAATGGCTTCTTTAGTCTCATTCAATAGACACAGCTAAATCAAGAGATATATACAAAGCAGTAAAAAATATATAAAGTAATTTTCTTTGTCCATTGTCAACATACCTGGTATAGTTATATGGTTCCTTGGTGATGGTAGGTTAAAAAGAGGGATTTGTAAAATTAATAAATGACGATGTAATTGCTGCCCCAAACTCACATTTGGTGAGGTATCATTGCATAGTACATCAAGAAAACATATGCACAAAAGCTGTAAAAATGGATAACAGATTGTCATTATGAATTTCATAGGATTGAATCATTGCCATTTCCAGGAATTCCTTAAAAGTATTAATGGTACAGCCAGGTGTGGTGGCTCACTCCTATAATCCTAGCACTCTGCAAGACCAAGGTGGAAGATTTCTTGAGGTCAGGAGTTCAAGACCAGCCTGAGTAAAGTGAGATTCCCCCCCCCCCCACCCAATCTTTACTAAAAATTAAACTAGTCAGGCATGGTGGTTCATACCTGTAGTCCCAGCTCCTCGGGAGCCTTAGGCAGGAGAAGTGCTTGAGCCCAGGAGTCTGAGGTTGCAATGAGCTATGATGATGCCATTGCACTCTAGCCCCATGTGATTCTGTCTCAAAAAGAAAAAAAAAAATTGGGAATTTTTCACCTAACAAATTCTGAGGTTTTTCCTCTCTTAATGAATATTCAGTTTATTTTAGTCATAAAATACTCCCTCAGCAATACAACTCAAAATAATAATTAGTTGCTGATTTAGAATCTAAAAAACAAGATGCTTTGAGCTTCAGATTATCTGTCTTATAGAAAATTATTTATTTAAAATGCAGTACTGGCTGGGTGTGGTAGCTCACACCTGTAATCCTACCATTTTGGGAATCCAAGGTGGGAGGATTACTTAAAGCCAGGAGTTCAAGACCAGCCTTGGAAATGTAGTGAGACTCCATCTCAACAAAAGCTTTTTAAAAATTAACTGGGCCTGGTGGCACATGCCTGTGGTCCTAACTACTTAGGAGACTGAGGCAAGGAGGATCACCTGAGCCCCAAAGTTTGAGGTTACAGTGATCTATGGTCACACCACTATACTCCAGTTTGGGTGGCAGAACAAGACACTGTTTCAAAAATCAAATAAAATGCAGTATTAGGGCAAGTAAAGAGCAAGTACTAGCTGGGTGCAGTGGCTCATATCTATAATCCTAGCACTTTGGGAGTTCAGGTGGGAGGATTGTTTGAGGCTAGGAATTTAAGACCAGCCTGGGCAACATAGGGAGATCCTCATAACTACAAAAAATAAAAAGATAAAAATTAGCCAGATCTGAGGTCCTATCCTAGGTGCTTGGGAGGCTAAGCTAGGAAGATTGCTTGAGCCCAGGAGCTTGAGGCCATAGTCAGCTATGATCATGCCACTGCACTCTAGCCTGAGCAACAGAGCAAGACCCTGTCTTTAAAAAAAAAAAAAAAATAGTATATGATAATGTAAAAAAACAATCTGTTTACCATGAATGTATATAGGTAATTTTTATTTGCCAGTTAAATTCTTTGGGGTTTTTTTTTTGTTTGTTTTGTTTTTTTGTTGTTGGGGAATCATTGAGGGTACAATGAGCCAGGTTACACTGCTTGTGTTTACTGGGTGTAGTCTCTCTATTAAAGTTAAATTCTTTTTATTTTATTTTATTTATTTATTTTGTCTTTTGCAATTTTTGTCTGGGGCCAGGTTTCAACCCACCACCTCCGGTATATGGGGCTGGTGTCCTACTTCTTTGAGCCACAGACACCACTCCTTTTGAGCCACAGGCACCACCCCTAAAGTTAAATTCTTTTCATGAGTATTTTCTTTTCTTTTCTTTTCTTTTTTTTTTTTTTTTTGAGACAGAGCCTCAAGCTGTCCCCCTGGGTAGAGTTCCATGGCATCACAGCTCACAGCAACCTCCAACTCCTGGGCTCAAGTGAGTCTCCTGCCTCAGCCTCCCAAGTACCTGGGACCACAGGCGCCTGCCACTACGCCTGGCTATTTTTTGGTTGCAGCCATCATTGTTGTTTGGCGAGCCCTGGCTGGATTTGAACTCACCACCTTAGGTATATGTGGCTGACGCCTTAGCCACTTGAGCCACAGGCACTGAGCCCATGAGTATTTTCTTAACTTGTTAAGCTGAGAATTTTTATGTTGATAAAGTGTTTGATCCAGTTTTAAAAAGAAGAATCCTCTACCTACTCCTATCAGTATTAAAAACTGTAATGAAATGTTGTTGCTTTCAATTTAAATAACCAGAACAAAATCATGACTGTCTCATTTATCCCAGCTAGCCATAATTCATTGAGAAGGAACAAAAATAACAGAAATAAAAGGTTAATTTTTTTTTACCTCCCTGAATTGTACATTATATATTGCCATAGACCATACAGTACTTATTACTTTCTACTTGAATCTTTAGATTTAGGATACACTATATAATGCTTACTTGATTATTGATATGAAAACATATTCAATTAATATACAGTGTAATAAATGGAAGATGTCAATATTAACTTAGTAATTTTCTTTTATTTGTTTTATTTTTTTCAGTTTTTGGCCAGGGCTGGGTTTGAACCTGCCACCTCCGGCATATGGGGCTGGCGCCCTACTCCTTTGAGCCGCAGGCGCCATTCAACTTAGTAATTTTAGCCTGATTCTTCTTTCATTTGCTTTATTTCTAATATTTGGTCATGTGATATTATGATCCATGAATAGGGCTATTTGTTCCTCCCCATCATTAACCATAGTGTGTTTCTGGTGATCAGTCAAGTTTCAGAAGCATTGTTGTAGATCACTGATTCTCAACCAGGGGTAGTTTTGTCCTCCAGGGGACAAATGGCAGTGTCTGTCATTTTTGGTTGTCATAACTATAGAAGGTGAATGCTACTGGCATCTAGTAGGTAGAGGCCAGGGATACTGCTAAACATTTAATGATGCATAGGACAGGCTCCACTCCCCTATCCTGTACAAAAACTTGTCCCATTTATAGTCAATAGTACTTGAGGTTAAGAAATCCTGATGTAGATGTAGTAAGATGAAATTATATGTCCCAGGCAAATGGTAGATTAGGTTAGAGTAAATTCCTCTCTGAACAATAGATGTCACTCTAGAAATTTTGGTTTATTAGAGCCTAATTCCCAAAATAGTGATATATTCTGCTTCCTCAGATCCTGCCAGTTTTACTGAGATTGCTAAAGACTGTGATGAGAATAAAGAAAACAAAACTCCTGAAGTATCTCAGGGAGAAGTTGATTGGCTTCAGCAGTATGATATGGACCGTGAAAGGGAAGAACAAGAGCTTCAGCAGGCATTGGCTCAGAGCCTTCAAGAGCAAGTAAGAGATATTTATATTTCCACTACTTTCTCTGTACCTGCCTTTCTCAAGAAATAGAATAATAATAATAATGCATTGAGCACTTATTATGCTCAGGCATTATTCCAAGTGATTTATGTATAGTAAGTAAGTAATCCATTAACAAAAACTTGTTTGAGGGTTGCTTTGAGGTTCAAACAAGTACTTAGGTAGTTTTTCTTTTTTCTTTTTTTGAAAATCAAAATTTAACAAAATGTATATTCTTGGTTACTTTCCATGAGTATAGTCACTGCATGCTAAAATAAGATGGGATATTAGAGATTATTCCCAGTCCAACTTTGTTTTGCAAACTATAGAAATAGTATATTACTATGATTTTATCATTAATATTTTAAGGCAACGTATTTGTTTTGGTTATTTTCTCACAATATAAATACTTGCCTACCAATTATTTGAACATAAAATTCTCAGAAATAATATCTAAAAATCTAATTTCCTAGCCAGATGTACTGACTCATTGATCATACCTATAATCTCAGCTATTCAGAAGACTCCAAGACTTCAAAATAACATAAAATTTAATTTTTAAACTTTAGTAACAGAACATTTATCTTTTCTTTACATAGTAATCTATTCTTCAATTTTTACTTTATGCTGGTTGTTTGCACTATTGCAGTTACCTGAGATATCAGATTTACAGGTAGTATTTTCATGGTTACCTAATCCTTTGCAATTCAGGTCATGTTAATGAAAATTTACTAAGACCAGAATGAATGGGTAGTTTTAGTGCTTGCAGATGATCAGATTAAGAAATCTACTAGTGCCTGTAGTCTATCTAGTAGGTAGTTTAAGACCAGCCCATGCTGTATAATGAGAGCCTGTCTTTAAAAAAAAAAAACAAGAAATCGAATTTCTTTGGATCAGTGATTCTCAGTCTCACCTGCACATTCAGATTATTATTTGGGAGCTTTAAAAAATACTGATGCCTAGATCATTCAGCCCCTCAGAAACTCTGATGTTGATGTGATTGATCTAAGGTATAGTATCTGTATATCTTTTCTTTTAACCTTAATTTTCAAAAGCTTCTTCCACTGATTCTGATGGGCAGCCAAGATTCAGAATCACTGCTTTAAAACCACTTCAGAGGCCAATTGCAATGGCTTATGCCAGTAATGCTAGCACTTTGAGAGACCAAGGCAGGTGGATTGCTTGAGCTGAGGAGTTTGAAACCAGCCTAAGCAAGAGTAAGACCATATCTCTACTAAAAATAGAAAAACTAGCTGGGCATCATGGTGGGTGCTTATAGTACCAACTACTCAGGAGACTGAGCCAAGGGGATCTCTTGAGCCCAAGAAAACCTTGGCAAGTTGATCACCCAAGAGACTGTAATAAATTGGTCTACATACAGAGGTGGTCAACATAAGGAACTAGGTCTACTATACTGACACATACATGTGGTACCTGTTTGGTGTATGAAAATTAGGTTGCCCAGGTGTGGTGGCTCATGCCTGTAATCCTAGCACTTTGGGAGGCAAAGGCGAGTGGATTCCCTGAGCTCAGGAGTTCGAGGCTAGCTTGAGCAAGAGCGAGACTCTGTCTCTAAAATACAGCCAGGTGTTGTGGTACACACCTGTACTTGGGAGTCTGAGGCAAAAGGATCACTTGAGCCCAAGAGTTTGAAGTTTCCATGACCTATGATGCAGTGGCCCTGTACCTAGGGCAACAGAGTGAGACTCTGTCTTAAAAATAAAATAAAATAAATAATTAAAAATCAGGGGAACAGAAAGAAGCAATTTGCTAACTATCCACTGTGTGCCAGGCACTTTATACAATAAGAAGAAAAGGAATTATATCATAATGTCACATTGAATGATTCTGGGTTGGCAAGCAAAATGTAGCTAACAAGAATAGCATTTAAACTCTTTTAACTTTGAAGGTTGTGTTTTAAGAGGACAGTGTTTAAAAAAGTAAACTTTTCATATCCCTTAAAAGGTCATACTGCAAACATCCACTAGGTTGTGGAGAGCATTATTAGCAAATGCTCCCATAGAAGCTGAATTTATCTTCATTCAAATAAGTTTAATCAGTACCTCTTTAAATATCTTTTTCTTTTATCCCTTTAGGAAGCTTGGGAACAGAAAGAAGACGATGATCTCAAAAGAGCCACAGAGCTAAGTCTTCAAGGTTTGGAGATCATTTTAACTACTTCTTTTCTTATTTTTTTGAGACAAAGTCTCACTATGTCACCGCCCTTGGTAGAGTGCCGTGGCGTAACATCTCACAGCAACCTCAAACTTTGAGCTTAAGCAATTTTCTTGCCTCAGCCTCCCATGTAGCTGGGACTATGCCCGCCACAACACCTGGCTATTTTTCTGTTGCAATTGTCATTGTTGCTTAGCTGGCCCGGTCTGGGTTCAAACCCGCCAGCCTTGGTGTATGTGGCCAATGCCATAACCACTGTGCTACAGGCACTGAGCTTTAACTACTTTTTTTTTTTGAGACAGAGCCTCAAGCTGTCCCCCTGGGTAGAGTGCTGTGGCATCACAGCCCACAGCAACCTCCAACTCCTGG